ATGAGAGAGTACCTCCATTTCCCCCTCCCTCCCCCCCCCCCCCCCCTTTTTTTTTTCTTTTCTTTGGCTGAGTTTATTGGTGGCATACCATTCTGTGGCGGGCCTGTTATGCAATGTCAGGACTTTATTGATGTGCCTTTTCTTCTGCCTGTTACACTGGAGCGTGCCTACATGCCTCTGTTGTCGGAATTGTTATATGTTTTTGTTCCCCCCCCCCCCTTTCTCCTCCCTTAGGTTTCGGGGAGGTATTTGTACTTTACTAAAAAAAAAAAATCAATAAAAACCTATTGAAAGTGAAAAATAATAATGGAATGAACACCATAGAAAGAGTAACAGTGTAAAGAAATAAACCAAACCATTTGAAAGTGGAAGAAAAAAAAAAAAAACTACACAATAACATATCTGGTAAATGTTGCTTTGACAATCCCCACAAAACATTTTCCAATAAATTCCCCACAAAACATTTTCCACTAAATCACCACCTAAATATATTTCTCTAAGTGGTTATGTGTCCACAAAGCTCCAGCTCGATCCTCTCTCTGTAGTGTTTTTGTGGTATGAACCCTCTGCCAACCACGAACACACTAGAGGAGGGGCGCTCAACCCATGGCCCGCAGAGCCCTCTGATGTGGTCTTCAACCTCAAATCAGAGAAGCGCACGCCTGGGGTTGGCAACCCATTGATCGTGGTTTGGGCTTGCCGACCCGCCATCCCAGAGCATCAGAGTGCATGGAGCAGGCGCCAGCAGAGGAGGAAGCAGGCAGCCGTTGGGGGAGCAAGAGCCGTATACGCAGATGCTCCTCTCTAGCCCCGACTCCTGTCCCAGGCAGAGTGAAACCAAGTTCACTTCATCTGGAACCTTTCTAGCAGCCTAGAGAGCAGTGCCAGCAGAAGCTGGAAAAGGAAAATAAGATCCGTGTATTAACTACTTGCCAACCGCAGATAGCCGAATGACGGCTACACTGCGGCCAGTCCAGTTCATATGACGTCCTCCCAGAACGTGCTCTCCTGCGTGCCCCCGGGGGCGCGCACTTGGCGATCTCCATGATCGCTGTGTCCATAGGACACAGCTGATCATGTAATGTGGTAAAAGGCCAATCACAGCGGCCTTTTACCACGTGATCAGCCGTGTCCAATGACAAGCTGATCACCGGGAAATGCAATTGCCGGTTCTCGGCTGCACTTTCCTTGCGCTGTCAAACTGCGAGGAAAGTACTGCCGAGAACCGGCAGTTGTCAGAGCAGGGATCGGCACCGATCATCAGTGCCTTGATGATCGGTGCCCTGATGATCGGTGCCCAGCAGTGCCACCCACCAGTGCGGCCACCAGTGCACCCACCTGTGCCCAGAAGTGCCACACACCTGTGCCCAGCAGTGCTGCCAGTCAGTGCCGCCCAGCAGTGCTGCCAGTCAGTGCTCAGCAGTTGCGCCAGTCAGTGCCACCTATCAGTGCTGTCTATCAGTACCCATCATCAGTGCCGCCTATCAGTGCCGCCTATCCGTGCCACCTCAGTGCTGCGCATCAGTGCCGCCTATCCGTGCCACCTCATTAGTGCTGCCTATCAGTGCCCATCAGTGCCGCCTATCAGTGCTGCCTCATCAACGCACATCAGTGAAGGAGAAAAATTACCTGTTTGAAAATTTTTATAATACAAAGACACTTTATTTTTCAACTTTTTTGCAATTTTTTTTGTTTATAGCGCAAAAAGTAAAGCGCCCAGCAGCGATTAAATACCACCAAAAGAAAGCTCTATTTGTGAGAAAAAAATGATAAAAACTTCATATGGGTAAAATCTTGCATGACCACACAATTGTCAAAGTGCAACAGCGCTGAAAGCTGAAAATTGGCCTGGTAAAGAAGGGGTATAAGTGCCCTGTAGGCAAGTGGTTAAACAACACATACACAGAGCTTTTGCAATGGGCACCTATAAAAAGAGATAACAACCATCAGGCTGCTTTCACACTGATCAGTGCAGAGCACCTGCGGATTTCCTGCAGGTTAGTTGCACTAAACCATGGCCATCTATTGTATCCTGCAGGTTTGGTGCACTTTCAGAACATGCACCAAACCCACAAGATATAATAGAAGTCTATAGTAAAGCACAGCTAACCTGCAGGAAAGCTAAAAGGCAGATTGGGCTGCACCCATAGTGCGGGTAAATTACAGTGCATCGGTGTGAAAGCAGCCTTATAGTTCAGACGTTGTTTTACCACGTCACCCAACCACTGGTGTAGCGTCAGGGGTCACAATGGCAACCTCACTCCATGCTCCAGGGGGCTTGGGCAGCCTCCCTGCCACGTCCTGTTTTACACTTGGACAGAGAGGCAGAGGGAGTGGCAATCACTGAAAGCCAGCTTGCCATCCTCTCCCCCTCCTGCCGACATTCCAGGGTAGATAAAAATCAATGCTTTTTTAAAAAAATTAAAAAAAATAAATAAATAAATCGAATTTTTTGATTTAAATCGGATTTTTTAAAATAAAATGCTTTTTGAGGAAAATATATTACCATCCAAAGGTTATTCCATCATGAAATAAAGATTCATTTTTTATTTATGTAGAATAAGGCTGTATATGTTTAATTTTTTTGGTAAATAAATTCCAATAATCCATTCACAATGTCATGCTCTTCCAGAGGTTTTTGTAAGATTATTGGGCAGTTTCTCTGCCTACAAGATATTATCACAGATGTTTGGTTTACTTTTGCAGTTCTCAAAACTGAATTTGACTCAGCGGAGATCACATGCCTCTTCTTCACAGCAAAAATGTTATAACATGAACAGAGTTAAGAAAAAGACCTTCATCCTAACTTCTACAAACCTATGAATACAGAATCAACCCCTTCAGTGCTAAGTTTCAAGAAGTTCAGTGAATAGAATAGAAACAATATTTTTCTGATTGTTTGGAGTGGAATAGATCTGCACAAGAAGAAAGTGAAACTAAGTGTGAGGAGGAAGGGGCTGACAGTCTAAGTTTCTTAAAATATATATATATTTTGTTTAGCCAAATTAGTTAACAAACATGGATGTTTGTTTAAGCAAATAAATATGCTGGAATGTTATTGTTTCAGTTGAATAAATCTATTTAAATTATTATTAAGGTAATGATTATTTTTCACCTTCCTAAGTACAACAGAAAAGTTGTCCAAATATGAATGATTAACCTATTAAACTGGGGATAAAAAAAACTAATATGAAAAGTTATTCTAAAAATCTTCATTTACTTGTATATTAAAGTTATACCAGCAAGAATTAGTCTTTATGTAGAAAACTAGGATTTAAATCAAGCCTTACTGACTAGTGATTTAAATCAGTTTGATTTAAATCAAATCTACCCTGCGACATTCTAAATAAAAAATTCTAAATTCTTAACCATTTCATTTTCATTGTGGCCTGCGACTGGTTACCAAATGACCTAAATGGCTCTCACTCTTCAAAGGGTTGAGTACTCTAGTCCTGGAGCCATGAATGCTGGTAGGTGAGATCACTGTGCTATGGGATTCAACAGCTTTGTAGTCATATGACTGTGTAGTAAAACTAAAAAAATATATTAAGATGGTGATTTAGTAGAAAATATCTGAGAGGAGTAAAAAAATGAGGAAGCAACATTAAAAAGTTCTATTGTTGGGTAGCTTTTCCTTCAATTTTAATATAAGAAGCCAGTCTATAGAATACTTCACTAGCCTGAGTAAGCACCTAGGCAACAATAGTATTTTCTGCAGGGGCCCCATAAGTGTCAAGGGCCTGTAGAGTGGGCATCAAAGGTCTATATTCTGAGAAAACTGTCTTAAAGACCAGATTCAGAGAGTACAGATTAACAATTTATACTCTGAATGGTCTAAGGCTGGTGGTGTACCCCAAGGATCAGTATTGTAACCAACGTATAAATGATATAGAATTCAGGATTAAAAAGTACAGTTTCTGTGTTTGCAGAGGACACCAAGTTATGTAGAACAAAAAAAGATGTTTCAGAGCTACAAGCTTGGATGCACTGTTTGATTGGGCAACTACAAGGAAAATGAGGTTAACATTGATGAGTGAAAACGTATGCCCCCTTGGGGTTAATCATTATACTCACTTCCAGTTCAGGGGAGAGATCCCACAAGCAGATCTGTCCATCATGGCATCCTGTTATAATGGTGCTCATATCATCCATTACCAGGACATTGGATATACAGTGTGTGGGAGCTTTGCGCCCCCAGAGGACAATGGGAAGAACCAGACTGTTTCCAGTCATTTTTCACCCCTGGAGAAAGAACAAACAAAATTACAGGTAATTAGCAATTGTGTAGATGTAGCTAAAGTGCAACTAAAGAGTTCTGTGTGACCATCTATACAAGTCCCAGACTATGCCAAACAGTGGGAGGGTTACACCAACAGAAGCAGAAAAACAAAAGTGGGCAGGGCTGGGTGTGGCAAGGTGCTGATTGACAAGCTACAGGCTGAATCAGCAGTGGCAAAGCTAACAGCCACACCCTCTGTAACATCAACTTCTCTCACTGTAGTACAAACAGGCACAGCCTACATGGGAGTGGCAACTCTGGTCTGAATTCAAAAGCAGTGCAGCATTGTTGCCACCCCATCACAGGAATCTGCATTACATTACTTCAGCGGCAGGATCAACAGATATTTGATGGTTTCCGCAGGACTAAGAGAAATTGGAAAAAGTGCACATGCACAACAAATCCTGATAACAACTGAAGAAATACAAAGGCCAGACTTATTACTTTGATGACACCTCTCATACAAGCATCTATAACGGGGCTCAAAATTTCAATTCCTGAGCTACTAGCCAGGCCTTAAGAGTTACTCGCCACCAACAAACACACACAGAGATATCTGTGTACACACACACACACACACACACACAGACATGTAAATATATATATATATATATATATATATATATATATATATATATATATATATATATATATATATATATATATATATATATATATATATATACACACACACACACACATATACACACACACACACACACACACACACACAGAAACATGTACACACATGCACACAGACACATATACACACACACAGATATACTACATACACATACAGTACACACAGACACATGTATGTACATATACACACACACGTACACGCACACACAGACACATGTTAAAGCGCTGAGTAAACTGTTGGCGCTATATAAATCCTGTATTATAATAATAATGTACACATACATGTACATGCATACAGACACACACACCTCTATAAAAAGTTGCAGTACTTCGTTGTTCACTCACAGAGCCGGGTACTGCACTCTAGGGGGAGGCAGAGAGCACAGCACACACTCCTTCCTTTGCTTTCACTGCACTCAGCTACTGAGCAGTCTGACAGCTCCCAGTGCCAATGACAGATCCGGCCTGCACTCTGAGCCTGCTCAGCAAGACGGCCCTGGGGGACACACTCGCCCCCACCATAATTTCCACTCGCCATTGGCGAGCAGGCAAGTGGAAATTTCAAGGCCTGAACTATATTATTGTTATAGTTTGACAAGTGCACAAATATGTAAAGAAATGGTTCTTATTTTACTTACATTTTCTAATACAGTAATTGTATTTGCACTGTCATAGCCAACAGTGTTCATGTGATCAGGAGCCACTAAGATTGGCACCCCATTGTTAGGGCCAGAAATGAGATCCACCAGCCGTGCAAACTTTTGGCAGGCAGCTCTCAAAGGAAAGCCAATTGTAACCTATATATTCAACACATATTGAGGAATGTTAAATAGGTATTGCGGTCTGCAAGAATTAAAGAAGTTCTCTAGTCAGGCAGCTTAAAGGACTATTTAGGTACAAATAAGTTTACCTTGCAAAAGGATTTGTAATTATGTACAGCTAGTCTTGTGATCTATACAGATCTGCCATGCTTTGTGGTCATGGAGGTGGTGCAATTATTACCTGGATTTAGCAGTGCAGCTTAAAGTGGTACTAGAGCCACATTCACTACATTAAGTATTAATAAAGAGCATTAATCACTGACTCAATACACTTTATAAGTATTGTTATTTTCTCTTACTTTGAAAAAATTGTGCATATCCTCAGTCTCTCCCTTTAGCTGTATATGCTGTTTTTTAGCATTTTTGGCTCCCAATAACAGCCAGCACGGTGGGGAATACATCAGCTTCTTGCTGACTGCAAAAGTGAAAGACCACATACCTGGGCACTCTTTAGACATGCATGTTCCAAGGAGGGAGCCGGCCACTGGATAGTGTAAACTTTAGCTCTGCAGTTTACCTGTTAGTTACTTAAAGCCGAGTTCCACTCACGCTGTCAAAAAATAAAAGTCAGCAGCTACAAACACTGTAGCTGCTGACTTAAACAAACAAAAAAAGAAAAAAACAACACACACTCACCCGTTCCTCGGTCCCATGGTGTGTACCCTGCAGCCCGTTTTACCGGCCGTCTTCTCTCCTTGGCGCCGGCATCTTTGGTGTGGACACCTGGCTGTGACAGCTTGCGGCTTCACAGACGGGTACTCACTGCACATGCACGAGTAGCGCTGCGCTTCCTGAATGGTCCTGTAGTCTTCTGCGACCTGTCACATGTCCCAAAAGACTAAAGGGAGGGAGGAAGGGAGGACACCTAGGCGATTGGAGCGGAAGTGGGAGCGGGTAACTGTCAAATTCGGAAACCCGCTCCCCGCCCTCCAAAGGTGCTAATCCTTAATGGGGAGCGGAGGACCAGTCTTTAAAGCGTAACTTCCCCTTTTGGTTGGAGCTCCGCCTTAATCATTTTTTTTGAGGCCTGCTTCTGGAGCAGTAACTGATTAGCACAGCTAACGTTTGTACCATGCATTAGCCAGCAAGGAGGAACAAGCTTGTCTAAATGGTTGCTGCAGATGTGTTTTTTCACTCTCTCATCCCTCATTGTCACTTATACTCTCTGCTCCTAGTGCATCGGAATGGGTGGCTACAAAGGGAGATATCGAGAGAGCAGACTGAAATTGTAGACACAGGACTAAAGGAAATGGATGCAGATCGGGATCTTTGCAAAGATTGTAAGGTATTAATGGGAACAAAATATACAGTACATGAATTTTTAAAGATACAGGATAAAAACAGTTGGGAATTGCAACATATATGTATTTTTTTTGTTCTTGGTCTTTAACTACGTCCCACCCAGACCAATTCTGACATTCCCCTCCTACATGTAAAATCATACATTTTTTTGCTACAAAATTACTTAGAACCCCCAAACATTATATATATTTTAAGCAGAGGCCTTAGGGAATAAAATGGTGAGTGTTGCAATCTTTTATGTCACATGGTAACTACGCAGCGTCTTTTCAATTTTTTTGGAAAAAAAAAAATACCTTTTAATGAATTGTAATGCAAAAAAAGAAAAAAAAAACAAAACAAAAAACACAGTATAAGGCTCCATGCACACGGGGTGTTTGAATAACGCTGGTAAAGTTACCTGTGTAAAGTCATGTTAAAAACGTGAGTTTTTCCACATTTTTGCATTAGCGTTTAGCTGCATTTTTAGGGTTTTTTTTTTACCCCCCCATACGTAAACGTTGATTACAGTCTGTGTGCATGAACATAAAGGATAACATGCTGGGGGGTTTACATGCTGTAGAAAAAAAAAAAAAAAAAAAAAACATCAAAACCCAAAAACAGCCGCTGTAAAAACACCCAGTGTGCATGAAGACTAAAATCCATTTTTTAGTGAAAACATAAAAGATGATGCTGCGCCAAGTAAATAGATACCTAACATGTAACGATTTAAAACCGCACACGCTCCTGGAATGGCGCCCAACTACAGTAATTAAAAATCTCCATAGTTGACATTTTTACAGGTTACCAGTTTAGAGTTACAGAAAAGGTCTAACAGTAGAATTATTGCACCCGTTACAACATTTGCAGCTATGCCTAACGTATATGCGAATTGGATTCAGTTTGAACCGCATCCAATCTGTATGACATGTGAAGTAACATTGCTTCCTGTGGTGCTTGTTCACATATGACTGGAAAAAATGTCACCAGCACACCGAGGATCACTTGCCTGATGAAGGGGTCTGCGAGACTCCGAAACGTTGCCTTGTTGTAACTATGTGATGGTTTATTAAAACCTTTGGACCCATATTGGTGATCCTCGGTGTGCTGGTGACATTCTCCCTTGCTGATTCTGTTCGGTTCCAGCCAACGGTCACTGCAGCACCCACTTATACTCACAGCCATTTTTAACGCAGGAACGTGTGCGTTTGGATCATACACTTGTGTTCACATATGACTGGTGCACTGCTGCTGTGGATTCAATGCAGATTCAGTTCGGTTTGAAAAAGAGTCATGTCCGATTTCTGAGTAGGCAGTCCTAGTCATGTCAATTAGGATTCAGCCGCTGCTCCCAATCTGACATCCGTGTGGGTGCATGGCCCCAAAAACACACGGTCTGTGTTTGGGCCTTGCAGGTGCACCGGCACCGATGTCAGATAGGGAGCAGTGGCTGATCCCAATCGCCATGAATAGGACTGCCTGCATGGGGATCCATGGAACACCTGTACATCCCTGTGTGGGTAAACACGGTCGTTACAAATGAATACGCTGTAGTACACCTGTGTGGACGAAAAGATGCACCAAGAGAGATAAAAATTAAAAAAGGAAGTCATATAAATATCTGCCTGGCTATGCCTCATTACAATAAGGAATGTAAATCACAAGACTGGCTAGAAAAAAAAAAGAATTAGAATTGGTTTGCAAGCATTGTCATTAATATGTATTCCCTTTATGGATTATAACAATTTTTAGTTGTAGACACAATGAGGTAAAATTTGAGCCCCGATTGGGTCTTTATCACTGCCCATGATCTAAGTGGGGAGATCACATGCAAGTCTGGTGCTCCCTTCAATATCCACGGCTATGTTATGAACAGAACTGGCTTTTCTTTTATTGATGAAGTGAATTGTCAGTACTATAGAGAATCTAAGAGAAGCATCATGGTATCACGGTGCCTCCAGGGGATTCTCTCTTCTCAAGTGCGCTGAACATCTGCAGTGTTTCACTGCACAGTATTATGATAGATAGAAGATTAAAACTTGCAACATGTACACTGACAAAATCTGGGGGATAAACCACTAAAGTGAAAAAAAAAAAAAAAAAAATCAAAGACAAAAGCCCAAGTGCAGCCTAAACTCGAATTTAAAAAAAAAAACAAAAAAAAAAAAAAACACAACACCACAACAACAACACAAAACAAAAAAAACACCACAGGGTTAAAAAGGATTTAATAATTTATTAAATCTAAAATCAACAGACTATTTCCTTCCTCAGTGATCATATAATACATAACAGGACTCTGAACCTATTAGGATGAATTGAAACACTGCGTGCTGCAGATAACATTTCAAAGTATTGATCGATATATTAAAAGACTCAAACAGTCATCTGGGTGATGTTATGATATTAAACCACTTCCATCTCTAATCAGCAGACAGATTTGCCCTGAAATACATTCTCATGTACAGAAGCTCCAATCCCGAAGGGGCCCCCTTATTTAAAAAGGAAGCAACAAGAGTGCTAAAAAGACGACGTAGTCTAATTAGTCCAATTTAAAGTGGAAGATTGCTTTAAAATAAGGAGCTGGTAAAAACTATAACAATATAACCAACTAAAGCGGTAGTAAACTTGACTTAAAAAAAACAAAAACAACAAAAAAAGTCTTCTCCCTGCAAGGTAATGTCATAATGTGATAGTAATGTGGGCAGCACAGAGGCTAGATGGTTAGCACTTCCGCCTGGCAGTACTAGGGTCGTGGGTTCGAATCCCAACCACGGCACCACCTGCCTGGAGTTTGCATGTTCTCCATGTGCCTGCGTGGGTTTTCCTCCATGTACTCCGGTTTACTCGCACACTCCAAAGACATGCTAGTAGGTTAATTGGCTGCTGTCTAAATTGGCCCTAGTATGTATGTATGAATGAGTTAGGGACCTTAGATGTACACCCCTTGAGGGTTAGGGACCTTAGATTGTACACTCCTTGAGGGTTAGGGACTGATGTGAATGTACTATATATATATATATATATAATATATATATATATATATATATATATATATAAAGCACTGCATAAAATTGATGGCTCTATAGAAGTACCTGAAATAAATAATACATAATGAAATATCTACCTTAGTTACAAAGCCCTCCATCATCGTGCTGTCACCGCTGCCATGTTCACAGTCTTCCTTCCGCGTTCACAGGCTCTGGCTGCTTGATTTGCCAAGCCACAACGTAGTCGCTCTCATGCATGCGCGCACGACTCTCAGCCACAACACAGAGCTCTGAAGGAATGGTACGGGTATGCCGTCCTTTTAGAGCACATGTGTCGGTGACGTCACCGACTGCAGGGACACTGCATATCTCGGTG